GTTAACAATGATTGGTTAAATAAATCTGTTAATGGTTTTGCTAGTACACCACTAGTTCAGTTACATAATCTACTAAGACATCAGTTTGAAGTTGTAGTTGTTGGGGAAAATAGCAACCTAGCCTAGGTGCAGTCCCAAATAGAATCTCATATAGGGACAATGAGGTAGTATTTTTGTACAAGAGCATTCATTAGATCCTTTGATAAATGTGCAGGTCCTTGTGCCCATTGTACGACTGCTGGGTACAAATTCTTAGGGAGGCAGAACTTGAGGTTGTTGGAGTACACTCCATCCTTCAGAACTGCCCCTTTCTGTTTCCACTTCTGTATTTCTTCAGGGGCAACTGTAGCCTGTTGTTCCCGCAGGATTTTTAGGTCAGTTGGAAGAGTCTGCAGAGTAAATATGGGAGTTTCTTCATTTCCAGACACTCTTCTTTCCACTTCCTGTGGTTCTTTTGCAGCTTGTTTTGCAGCCTGATCAGCTAGATGGTTGCCCTTTGCTTCATCTGAGTCCAACTTCCCATGTGCTTTTATCTTCAAAATAGCCACTTCTTCTGGGAGTAGGAGGGCGGCCATCAGCTCCTTGATTGCGGAACCGTGCTTGATTGGTGTACCGGCGGTGGTAAGAAATCCTCTTGTTTTCCAAATTAATCCGAAGTCGTGAGCCACGCCCAGTGCATATCTTGAATCCGTGTAGATATTGGCGCGCTTTCCTTCAGAGATCTTGCATGCTGAAGTCAGGGCTTGCAATTCAGCTTCTTATGCAGACATAGTTGATGGTAAAGATGATGATTTGACAATTTCATCTGTTGTGGTTACGGCATATCCTGTATGGTATCTTCCTTCTTCATCAGCATATCTTGAGCCGTCCACAAACAGGGTGAGATCGGGATCTACCAATGGGTCTTCATGCACAGTTGGTAGATGTGTTGTTTCCATTTTCATCTGTTCAAAACAGTCATGAGGTGTATCTGGGTTGTAGTCATTCACTATGGTTAAATCTTGGAACTCATTCTCCAGGAAATGACGCGGCCATGCTTTTAGGTGGTCAGTTGTTGGATATTTGACAACACCATTTTCCTGTAGCTGTGATTCGTCCATAGTGGCCCATGCTTTTGCCATAGGCCCAAGATCATTCCATTTCAACTTGGTCACAGGGACATGTGGAATGGCAGTGTCCCAATGACGGTACAAATGCTTGAGTTCCGGAGGTAGATGAATCAAGACCATACTGTTGCCTTCAGAATCACAGTAGAAGTCTTGTGCAGTGAGTTTTACTTCGACCAAATGATAGAGTTCATCTTCATAGCAGGTTTCAGGAGTGATGTTTGATTTGTACCACATGGTACAGAAGGCATATCCTGCTCCGTCATGAAGGAGTGCTTGTCCATCATGAAAGGATAGGTTGGGATGCATTTCCTTCTTGATGGTGCCAGTGAGAAGAAAAACATAAGTTTCATCCATGATGAATCCGTAGTATACACCCCCCTCAGGGAGTGGCAGAAGAGTGGACGGATTGAGAACTTGGCATCTTTGGAGGGTAATGTTGTCAGGCAACAAAAGATGACATTGAAGGCGAAGATGCCTGGCAGGAGTAACATGCTTAAGCTGGACCTGGTTGACTATGGCAGAAATGTCATGGGGGGCCAAGACAACCAGGGGGTGGCCAAGGACAAGATCTCCAGTTCTTTCAATGAGCTCTCTGGCAGCAAAGACGGCCCGAAGGCAAGAGGGACGTCCTCTGGCCACAATATCCAGTTGGCAGGAGAAAACTCCAATAGGCCCTTGGCGGCCTCCAGGACCATGGGCCTGAGTGAGCACTCCTGTTGCATGGCCTTGTCTTTCAGAAACAAACAATTTGCATGCCACTGAGAAGGCTGTCAATTTGGTGTCTTGAGCAGATGTGGGTGAGGAAAGTAAAGATGCTTGACGTACCTGATCTTCTGTAGCAACAGCAAATCCAGTATGGTACCTTTCCTCTTCATCCGCAAACAGATTGGAGTCAGGATCTGGCAAAGCTACTGCATGCCTTGTTGAGAGGTGTCTTATTTCTTCTTTCATCTGTTCAAAGCAACCATGAGGAGTAGTAGAAGAGATATCCTCACCTATTTCTGTGTGAGATTGAGGGTATTTGTCTTTCCATTTACAGTTCTCTTGCTGCCCCCCCCCCCTCTGTAGAGAGCTGATATCGATTTTTTGGTGTTTCATGTTTTATTGAGTCAGGTTCCTTTTATGAGATTTCTGGGGACTTAGTGAAGAAAACATGAGGGGCAGCCACCTCCCAGTGATGATACAGGTGTCTTATTTCCATGGGAATCTGGGTCAGGACCGCACTATTTCCTTGAGAGTGCCCAAAACAGTCTGAATAATAATTGTTTTTTTTTTGTTTTTTTGTTAGTGTGGTATTCCCCCCTGGGAAGTGGCGGAAGAGGGGCCAGAGCAACTTTTTTTTTTTTTTCAAAATATAATGTTGTCAGGTAGGGGACAAGATGGAGTAGAGAGAGGAGTAGGAGGAGGAGAAGGTGGAGTAGGAGGGAGGAGTAGGAGGAGTAGAAGGTGAAGTAGAGGGAGGAGTAGGAGGAGGAGAAGGTGGAGTAGAGGGAGGAGAAGGTGGAGTAGAAGGAGGAATAGGAGGAGTAGGATTGAATAAGAGGAGGAGGGAGGAGTAGGAGGAGGAGGGAGGAGTAGGAGGAGGAGAAGGTGGAGTAGGAGGAGGGGAAGGTGGAGTGGGAGGGAGGAATAGGAGGAGTGGAAGGTGAAGTAGAGGGAGGAGTAGGAGGAGGAGAAGGTGGAATAGAGGAGAGGAGAAAGAGGAGGAGAAGGAGGAGGAGAGAGAAGTAGAAGGAGGAGAAGGTGGAGTAGGAGGAGGAGTAGGAGTAGGCAGGGGTGGGCAGGTAAGGGAGCAGACAGGTCTCCGAATGGAGGCGTGGGTATGTAGCAGTGGAGGATACATCAGAAATCAGAACTAAGTAGAAATGCAATGGAGGCTGCAAATAGCCCATGTACAACAACTTTTAACTGGCCATATGCTTTCCCTAGAGAAAAATAATAAAAGGCTAACAAGCACATCTGTCTGTACAGGCCTCGAACGCTTCACTCCGTGGGTATCCCGCAGTGGCTAGTCCACTACATCTCCCACACCAGACTTTTGCTCGTAGAGACAGACGCTATCCCTGACTCTCTCTCTTTTTTTTTTCAACCTATCATAAAATATAACTCTTACTTACATCACAAATATACATTATTGCAATTTTATGTCTCGCAAAAGGGATAAAACTTATTTTACTCTTCACTGATAATGTATTAAAACTTACAAAATAGACAAATAACATTGTTTTTCTGCGAGATAAATGAAAAAGATAATGGAGGTTTTGTTAAGCTTTACATTTAGCTATACATTAATTTATCCTTTCTGGTTTCCAGTTTCTGGCTGTTAATGACAATATACAATGTAATAGAGCAGCAGGAAAAGCTAGCAGAATGCTTGGTTGTATAGGGAGAGGTATTAGCAGTAGGAAGAGGGAAGTGCTCATGCCATTGTACAGAACACTGGTGAGACCTCACTTGGAGTACTGTATACAGTACTGGAGACCATATCCTTAGAAGGACATGGATACCTTAGAGAAAGTTCAAAGAAGGGATGCTAAACTGGTTCATGGATTGTAGGATAAAACTTACCAGGAAAGGTTAAAGGATCTTATCATGTATAGCCTAGTGGAAAGACGAGACAGGGGAAATATGATAAAAGCATTTAAATACACAAAGGGAATCAACACAGTTAAAGTTGAGTCTATATTTAAAAGAAGGAAAACTACCATAACAAGAGGACATAGTCTCAAAAATAGAGGGACAAAGGTTTAAATAAAAATACTATCAGGAAGTATTACATTACTGAGAGGGTAGTGGATGCATGGAATAGCCTTCCAGCTGAAGTGATAGAGGTTAACACAGTAAAGGAGTGTTTAAGCATGCGTGAGATAGGCATAAGGCTAAGCACTTGCTGCTAGTAACAGATCTAGAATCAATACACTATAATGCCCAAAGTCTCGACTTCTATGCATATATAATAATAAAATATCTGGGCTTACATTAAAAAAAATATGTTAGTCAGTCTTTAATCTTGGTGGTTAACATTATCTAATAAAGACAGATTGGAACGCACTCCCCCCCCTATCCATTTGTTAGTAGTTAGGCTCATAATGTTTTCTGGTTCTTTTCAATTAGATCAAAACATCTTGAGACCAATCTTTAATTGTATTACCATTTGTTCAAGAAATCTTTGTTTATTAGAAATTTCTTTTAGCATGTTATCAATTTTTTGTACACAAAGTTAATACATATTGTTACTTAACACGTGAATCGGTATATATATATCCTTTCTACATGTTAACCATCACTTGTCACAGACACTTTTCTGATATAGGGAAACATTAGCAGGATTATTTTAGTAATTGTAACTTTCTTGTTCATAATATGTGGGAATTAAGGAAGACAGCATGTCTTAAGATATGATGAGCATGATAGGAGTAGATCTCGTCAGCCATGGATGGCCAGAACTGACACGATATATGGGCAGATATGACCTCACTAAGGGCAGAGTGAAGGCACTTAAGGACAACCTTCTTTTGTTCTAGGGGCCATTTTCCTTTAGGGCATACTAAGTCTCTCTGGAGGCGTGGGTTTCATGGGAAGTAACATTCTGTTTGGCAAAATGAAAATCTGAACTGTGGACAGACTTGACGGATTAAATAAGACAGTTGTGAATATTATACATCTAACAGCCCACAAAGCTGTCTCTAGAAACATATACCAACTTAATAACTTCTATTCCTGCATCAGATTCACTCCCTAACCATCCTATCAATTTCTATTGAGATAACAAAATACACAATTAGAATATTTTCTAGCAAAAATTTCATTGCTAAAATCTTATCAGTAGCTTCTGAATAACTCTACAGAACACCGAAGAGACAGACCTAAATCGCAAGCATGTCACCACCACCCTCCGCCCCCTCCCCCCCGCGTCTCACAGAAGCGAGGGGAGGGGGGTGTTTTAGCAGAGGGGGATTTGAGTGGAACAAGAGACAGACTGCCTGCCAGCACGAATTTAACCATGTCAACGCTGTACAGTAACAAGACAGAAGGATAATTACATTACAAAGCAAAAACACAACATTTCATTTAAACCCCCACCCTCTACCAGGGTAATGGCTAACACAAAATACAAAAACCCCACAGCGTTTTAAGATTGGGGTGAGATGGTGACCATGGTCAGCTACATTTCGGTCATTACTGACAGGATGATGGAAGTGGTCACCTCCTGGAACCCCCGACAGGGCACTGGCTGGGATAACTTCCCAGTAACACAATTATTATGATATACATACAGTTCTTAACCCTTTATGATTTATCTCTTCCTCTACCCAGCCCTCCTGCTGGATAGCCTTTCTACTCTGTACCATGCTTCAGCAGTACGCAATAAATCATTATCTGTAAGCTTGCCTTTCTTCTCTGTCAGTAATCTACACCAGCTTTCTGGCTGTAATCTACCACATGAAGGCACAGCAATTTTACACACTTTAGCAATCTTTGCAACATTTTTAACCAG